CAGAGACAAAAGAAAGTCGGCTACAACGGGAACAGAGGCAGAGACTGGATCAATCGACCGTCCGACACACCAATCACCGAAGGCGGACCATCGAGATTGGTAGACGGCGGAAGACGAAGGTCTAAGTGATCCTGCGATGCGAGTTGCAACGGCTCAAGAAAAGCCTGTCTGAGTGAGCCTTCCCGAGATAGCATCCAACTGTGAAGGTGGAGCCTTTCTGGTCCCTAGTAGAACTGCTGGGACCTCGGTTGAGACAGCAGATCTCACAGGGGTGGGATGCTGCGCGGGAAGTCCACCGAAAGCCGAAGCAACAGAGGAAACCAAGGTTGTCGAGGCCAGAGTGGTGCAACCAGCAACACAGTACAAGGGTGTAGAAGAATCTTCTCCAACCCCCTGCCCACCAGAATGAAGGGAGGAAACGCATACGCGTACATTCCCGACCAGTCCTGGGATAGAGCATCCACCGCCATGGCCATAGGATCTGGAACCGGAGACACAAACGTAGGGAGTCGAAAGTTCAGGGCCACGGTGAACAGATCCACATGGGGTCTGTCCCAAACCAGGCAAAGAGACTGGAACACCGAATGCTTGAGGGTCCATGTGCTATTTGAATGGGACGTGAATGTGTAGATTACGAGTCGGATAATTTATGAAAGCTAACTGGTTTCAGTGACATTTATGAACTGTTCTAGGCTGTTAGGCATATGTTAAATGGTTGTAATATATTGTCAATATGTAAAAGTTGTTTTAGGGGTAATTTTACGAACCGGAAGTTCGAATATGTTTGATACCGGAAGTGACCCTTAGGTTGTTGACCTTTTGTAGTTCGAGTGATGGGGACCATGCAGTTAGGGTTCTGTAGCCAGTGTGGGGACGGGATGACACGAGAGTGACGGCACCCAGGCCATTTCAACTTCCACCTACATCCTTCGTCACGGCTGCTTGTCACAGAATCTTCTCAGACGGCTCAGACGCTTCGTGGAGACGTCACAGACAGTCACGCCACGCCACGCAGGGATGAGGAAGGGCCTGGACACTTCAACGACTCCTGAGGAACCCCTATGACTTCAGAGACAGGGTGAATCTACATCACAGCCCTCTGCTACGTCTATATGAACATTCGTGCACTTAAGTATTGTGTTAACATTTAAATAGGACATTGATGTGGCCTACACCTACATGTAGTTGTGACACTACAGAACTGTGCTTATACCCCCAGTGGTGTAACTAGTGGAACTAACTATTAAGTTTAGTTGTGTGAATACTTCATGACCAAAGCCTTATATTCAGGAACTTTACATAATTAGAACATTGTTTACTTTCTAGTCTTGGATACAAAACTTATTACTATTTAGGGTGTGACAGGGATACTCGAGTCTAGTCATGAGAGTGTATGTTGATGCTGTGTGGTAATCAGTATGCAATAGAGCGTTTGATCCTAGTGTGATTACCACCAGGTAATAGTTCCTTTTACAGGAAGAAACTCAATCGTTATCACTTGTGTAGATTCTGTACATATATATAGTGAATTGTTAATACATTTGTTGAATTTATATCATTGTTGTTGATTCTACCTCCATCATCCGGTATTCACTACTCGACTTCGTCACATGCACCCCAACCGGTCATGGATGCGTCGGTGTAAAGGGTCATAGCAGGAGATGCCCGAACCAGTGGAACTCCTTCCAAGACATTGCTCTCGAGAGTCCACCAACGTGCTGATTCCTTCACCGACTCAGGAACATCCCACTGCCGAGACACTGGAGACCAAACTGACAGAAGGAAAAGCTGGAGCGGACGCATGTGAAGCCGACCCAAGGGAACCACATCCGCCAGTGAATTCAGGTAACCGAGGAACCGAAGGCACCATCGACACCGACCAGAACGGAGACCAACAGAGAGGCCTTCTCGTACTTGGACACTGGTGGAAGTACAAACCCCAGATTGGTTCTGAACAGATTACCGAGGAAAACAAAATCTTGGGAGGGGAGAACCTGGCGTTTCCATCTGGAAGTGCGGGGAATCGACGTAGGTGTTGAACGTACTGAGGTCGATAATAGGCCATCAGGCATCGGACTTCTTCTTCACGAGGAAGACCCGGGAGTAAAACCCTGGAGACCACCGGTCCGGTGAAAGGCCTGAACCTCCGACCTGAGAGCCTCCACCTGTCCCGGATCGGAAGGAGAAGGGAAAAAGATAGGCTCTCGTGCCAGAGGTGGATCCCAAAGGAGCGGGATGCAGAGACCCTTGGACACGACCCCTAGGGCCTGCCTCTACCTGCTAGCGCCCTTGCCTGCAGAATTGTGGCGTGCATCCTCAGACGCAAACGGGTTCCACCTCATCTCAGATTGCACTGAGGGAAGGACCCCGCCAAACAAATCCTTGCCAGTCAAGGGAGCCTCCAAAAGGGTAGCCCGATAGGAATCACCGACTGGCAGTCCAGAAAGGACCGACAACCGGCGGGCAACAACATGGTGTGACATGGCAGCCGACAGTAAGGCCATCGCATCAAGATGTGCCTTGCAAATTGCCTGGCTGAGGCGCTCCATCAGTCCAACCTTGCTGGGG